GGACAAAACTACTCCCGCCTGCATCAATCTGGCATTCAAGGACTTTAGAATATGGTCCCAAACTACTACTATTTCTGTCATAGCCTCCCCCCGCCCCACCCCACATCCCAGACAGTTATACTCTACATCAATATTTCTCATTTTTAAAAGTCTCCTGTTATTAACATAAAAATGACATGACTTTTTGGAGATCCTAATGGGCATCCTCTGATATAGTTGCCCTTTCTTACTCCTTGAAAAGTACTGCACTGAAGGTTTTCTCAAACACATATTCCTATGAGCCAATATGATATATGTCAACCCTACTTTCTGTAATTCCATTATAAAAATAGTTGTTATGCTTTTCACTGGAAAAATGATATTACAACACAAAATGTGCTGTTTCAATCTCCAGCATATCTACAAGGAAGTGTTGATAAGGACTTAGTGGTGCCAAGCAGTGAAAGTATGAAGAAGGAGGATCCAGATCTTGAAATGCCCACGGTTGTCAATTGGAGCTAATGCACTTCAGCCAGTATTTGAAAGGGGCTTCCATAGAAGTCTCACTTCAGGAAAGAATTCTGTTTTTAGAAGAACATATGAATACCACCAAGATATTGGTAAGTGTGTTTGAAGAAATATTTCTGGCATAGAGAGTATTTCCTTAGCAATTAATTCATATTCATTTGTAAGAACTTTACAACATACATTAAAACTCATTTCAAATGTTATCTGCCTCCTGAATTTTATTTTTCTGATGCTCAATTCTAATTTGAATCCAAGTTTCTGTCTCTCTTAAAAACCCCACCAGGACCCATAAACTTATCTATGTTTCATTTTCTAGTACAGTGAAATTTTCTCAGTGATGGGTACATTGTGTACCCATTCTCACCCAGGTACCACTCCTACACTGTTGACTTATCTGTCTTAAATTAAAATGATTACATCTTATAAAATACCTCTGAAAAGTAAAGCTGTACTTTCAAATGGATTTGCCAAGAAAACCTAATTTGTTAAACAAACTTCTGTGAGAATATTTTCATTATAATTTTCTACCAATAAAAATGTGATTAAATAAATCAGTGCTTTATTTATACCACTTTTGAGTTTGCTGATGCCATTATGATATGCATATTTGTTGATTTAGGAATTTAAAGACTTGATTAAATAACTGATCACATAATACTAATACTCACATTGAAAAATGAGATAATTCATAGTTTCCATTTCAAATTTTTAAGCTACCTACTAATTATTTGTGATTCACTGCGAGCATCTTAAAACAGGGCTATTACTCAATTGGTTACATTAAAGAATATATTTTTCTTATTTGAGAGAGTTTGAGGGGAAATCATACTGGTCTGAGAGGACGTAGACCAGTCTGTGAGTTATTCTGTTGTGTACATACCAGACAGGTGTGGCAGCTACAAAAATAAAAATTCTGTAAAAGATATTTAATTATTGGAAAATAGCAATAACTTGCATCAACAATGGCAGTTTCAATTAAAGAATTTTTCCACTCATCTTCTACAAATAGCACATGTCAACACATTAAAGCATTTTAATATACTAGTAATAGGGTTGTTATTTTTCACAAAAATATTCCTCAATAGAGGAATTATTATATTATAGTATTATATTAGTTGATTTTGGCTTATGCACTTTGAGGTTATTCATTAAAAATCAGTAATTACAAAAGTTTCAGTGTTCTGAAGGTTTGACAGGTGATAATAAAAATGTATTTATTGCTTTAAAAAGAACCAGGTCCTTTCTAAATGTCTTTCCTATTTACCTTCAAGCAAGCTGAAAATCACAGCTGCAAGAAAGCACATTGAATTTTTCTTAGACACAAATCAATATACAGTGATATGATAAAATGTCAAGCCATTTCTTTCCACACATTCAAGTTGCAGCAATGCACCTCTTCTTACTGTATGTATGGTGTCTCTCTAGAAAATTGTTCACTCAACTGGTTGGACTACTATGATTAATTTACATGCAAAAATTAAGAATGGAGTCACACCCAACTAGTCTCTTTGGGAAATGTCAAATGAGCAGGAACCTAATTATCCGTTTAACTATTTACTCCATGTGCACCCATTGTTCTTTTGTGGATTTCATTGACAGATAGGAGAGAGCACTGAGAGAGACAGAGTCAAATGGAACTAGTTCTGTTTTGTTTTAAATGTTTGTTTTTATCAAATAAAAATATGAAAAAATCTCTACTTTAAATTTGTTTAAATAATATGTTAAATTTCAAACTGAGAACAAATAAAACAACAGAAACAATTCAGACAAAAAATCAAATATTTTATACTTGTCAAAAAAACACAACACATATTGAGATGACAACAGAGAGGAAGATTGGTACACTTTAGAACAAATATTAAACCTTAAAATATTGCCCTAGCTGGTTTGGCTCAGTGGATAGAGCATCGGCCTGTGGAGTGAAAGGTCCTGGGTTTGATTCCAGTCAAGGGCACAAGCTTGGGTTGCGGGCTGGATCCCCAGTAGGGGGCATACAGGAGGCAGCCAGTTAATGATTCTCTCTTATTGATGTTTCCATCTCTCTCTCCCTCTCCCTTCCTCCCTGAAATAATAATTTTAAAAAATGTATTTAAAAAATAAAATAAAATAGAATAAAATTATCTTCTACCTGTAAAATAGAAGGAATCATAAATCGGACAATTAAATAAACATGACTAAAAATAAAAATATTCAAAACTGATTCGACTATGTCAGTGCTCCTGTTACCATTGTAACTAGCTAGTTAATATTAAAATAGGGAGAGAGCACAGGGGAGGCCAGACATTATAAGCACAGTCCTCTGGGCAGCTTCACCAGGAAGCTGCAGTTTCACACTCCCCACAGAGAAGCACGGATCCATTCCCTGCAGATCACTGGGGGAAGGGGCCCAACAAGTGGGGAGATGGACACAGGTACAGCAAAGTGGGGTGATGTGGTCTAGCCTGGGGAACAAAGATAATTGGCTAAGGCATGGAGCCACTGCAAGCAAAGGAAATCCAGAAGGATTCATCGGTTAAGCTCCCAGTTCTCTCTCTCTTGTTCCTCTTGTGCTCCTGTTTCTCCCTTGCTCCTTGACCCATACTAGCCTGCCAAGTGACCCTAGAAGCTGCATGGTCCTTGGCTATGCAGATGCCACACGCAATGGGCTGCTGCTGGGAACACAAGCTCACCTGGCCAGACACGGGACGTGACTAGACTTTAATATAGAGCAGAAACTCTTGAGAGTGGTTATAATCCTAGCTCTGCTGAAGACAAAAGGGTACTTTTTTTCCCATGGCAAGACAGGGGGAGATGAACCCTTACTATTACATCATCAATAAAACTTTCCACGATACTTCATCCTCCTGTGTGTGTGTGGGGGTGGGGGGGGGCTTAGGAAATTCTTATTCTTGTGGCATCCCAAGAACCCCACTTCTACCAGGAACAGGTGGGGACACAGGAAACACCACACCTATAACATTTCTATGGTTCTATATAAAAATGGAGAAGCACCCTAAGCAGAAGCAATAGAAGACAGAAATGAATAAATTATTTCCTGTAATCAGCTAAGAACAATCATAGAAAATAACCAGGTCAGAGAAGTGTCTCTGGGGACACCCACCTGTGGGGTGGCCTGGGCTCCACACTGAGGAATAATCCAGTGCCACGTTTTCTCTTCTACCTTGAAGTAGCAAAATTTATTCATGCTTAGGAAATGACATATGCTTTGGAAATTTTCAGATTTGACATTTTCAACCAAATCAATCACTCTGAATCCTCCTAGTTCCTCTCTAAGAGAGATTCTGAATGTACAGAATGTTTGAAAAGCCTGCTTTGACTAAAACAGTAATTTTCTCCTCAAAATTAGAAATGGTAAACTCAAGCAGTTCTCCTACTGACAAAATACATTATCAGAAGTACCATTCATCTCAATATAAGTTTTACTTTAGAAATTTACTACTATCTCATATAATTTAGCTTTTGAATAATCTTTAAATTAAAGAGCTCAGGCTTATTAAAAATGTGAAAATTCAAAATTATTTCTGATGTTTACCTTTATCCTTTCTAAATAGCATGAGTATATTAGTACTTACGAAGAGTTCAATATTCAGAGATCGTTACAATTTTATTAGTACTTCATTTTCAAGTTCATGCAAGTGCTTGCCATCATGGACATTATTAGGAAAACCACAATGCATTGAATCATAAAAAAGATTGCTGCTTCCTTCCCCGCCCCCATAACAGACATCACTAATCAATCATAGTTCTTCCATGAATCAAACTGCTTCTCTAAACATTATTCTAGCGAATCAAAGTCAATTAAATAGAGATTGGCATAAGGAGCGTGCTATATAAAATATATAATAGTTTAATATTAAGTAATTGTTCATTTGAATAACTAATATTTAAACTAATATTTAATTATTTAAATTATTTAATAACTGAAGCAGCACAAGTACTATCAGTTAAAATGGACTCCTAAGCAATCAGAAGGGACATCGGCTAGTATGGGAAACTAGTATATGACAACTGAATTCAACATAAGGACGAGAAACATGATGCATTTTGCTATGTTTGGTTTAAGCAGATAAAGGGGTGACTTGTCATACTTATCACTTTTTTCCTTTAATAAACACTTGAAAAATATTTGCTACAATGATATACTAAATACAATATCTTGACATTCAGTAATTATTTAAGATATTTGCATTTTTAAAAAA